TTCATTGAAAATCATTTTGGTTTGTTTATGCGTAAAACTCATTTTATGAGATTAATTATTACTTTTTTCTATTTGGATCAACATTATTTGAACTTTCTTTTTCTAGTTGACTGAGAGGGGGGGCATATCAACTAATACCATAGCCCATGTTTTCTTGGCTCTGTATTAACAGACCTGTGATTTATCAAAGATACACTACCCTGCAAAATAAACCATTCTTTCTCGGGGGTGAGATCAAAGAATATAAGCTTCATCTAAAATGAAAAAAAAAACATTATAACTAAACATGCCAAATGAGATTACCATTTGACAGGAATATAATCATTATATAGATCACACTTCCTTACCCATATTTGTTTGTAATTTCTACGCATGTAAGAACGAATATACCTAAAACATCGAGGTCTGATGTGACCTATCTCACCGCAATGATGACATATGGGGCGAAAAGGTTTGTGTAAACCTTGCTGATTTTGGTTTGTTTTTCCATTGTCTTCCAATCTTCCACCTGAAATAAAGACAATTTTAGAACTAGATTCATTACCTTGATAGCCAAGACCTTGGGGTTAATGTCCCACTCTTCCAACAGTAAGAATGTGATCAAGCTTGGCTGTTCAACATCTTTACTCCTTTTCTGGTTTCTTCAAGATCACGATGTATAGAAATTAACTCTTCTTCTTCTTTTTGTTGAAGCTCATTTTTCAAGTCTTCAATCTGATCGCCTAGCTCCTTCTTCTCTTTTATTAGCTTGACATTTTGACTGCATGTGTTGATAAAGTTTTGTAGCAAGTCTTCATAGGTAGGCATCTCCTCTTCATCCGAGTAGCCCTCATCTGTTTCAGCAGTTTCTGTTACAGCAGCTTCTGTTTTAACAGACACTGTCTTGACAGGCTCTTTTGTTTCTGCAACGTATGCAATCACGTTGTTGTAACGAGACAGGCTCTTCTTCATCCCTTTCTGTTTCTGATTCACTTAAGGTTGTTTTAAACTCTTGACACTCATAACATTGAACGGGTCTTTTGTCTCTGCATAATAAGTTTAGTTTGTTTAACCTTAGATGTTCCTTCATAGGTAGTTTCCAGCGCATCCCATACTTCCTTTGCTGTTTTGTACGAGGAGATTGTTCGGAATTGACTGACATCGATTGCATTTAGTACCTTGGCGTTGCTCGTGAATTTCTTGACTTCTTCCCCAGATTTAACAAGGTATCGATTGGTTCTTTCAAACCAACCACTAATCCTCGGTTGTAAAAAAAGTTTATTAGATAACTTTAAGAAGACAAAGCACAAGACAGAAATCACATCTATCTAAGAACATGAACCAAGGTTAACAAGTAAAAACCAATACTCCCCCTTAATCAGGGATGTCTTCTTCTTTCAGAAGTCCTTGCTCCTCATAGCGGCATCAACCTCTTCCCAAGTATATCTCTCCCCAAACTCAGCAGCAACACAAACTTAGCATGAGACTCTGTTTTCTGGTTCTCTGTTTAAACTGCAGACTTGTGTGTCCTCAACAAAACTGAGCACATCTTCTTCTAGTAAAGGAATAACCCAAATCACAATCACAATGTTAACGTTAGAAAATAAATCATTAAGCACAAATCCATATAAAAGGAAACACATATAATTCTCTAATAACCCAAAGTTGACAAAAGAGATATACGTAATAATGTCAAAAATCAGTTAGGGAATCTAATTAAACAAAAATATAATTCTCAATAATAATAAACTCTACAAAGAGGTTTGTCAAACGGCCTTATCGAAGTATCCTTTATATATTTAGGTGAAAATCCTATGTGTCATCCTAAGAGGATTTTAAAGAATTTTTAATGAAAATTAGTAAAACTCACAATTCTCTATGGTCCATTAAACAAAATAATAGAATAGTCCAATTAGCCACCCAATAAACCCATTTCTTTTCAATTAAAAATCACGGTCACATCTGATTTCATATTTAGCATTGATAATTCTCTATATCCTCTATATATTAATAGAAAAAAMACTAGATRAAAAATCATAGGTGTCTAAGGATTTTAAAGAACTCTTAAGGAAAACTATTAAAAATTCTTAATGACATGAACCATTATGTAAATAATTAGAAGAATCCAACTATATATATTTTAGCCAAATTACCCACTAAATTTATATCATATATACAATATATAATCATCAAACGAATATGGAAGCAACGAATATGTAGTAATTAATATGGAAGATTTTATGTGAGAATATCTTATTTTCTTTTCAATAAAGACTAATTACTAGATTTTTTTATCCGCTTCAAACGCGGGATTAGAATATTCAAAAACAAAAATTCATTATTTTTTTAATACACGGGAGAAAGTAAAGAGAACAAAGATCAAATGGTATATATCTCTCATGTTTTATCTTCAAAAATTAATTTGCATGACACTTAGATTAAATGTAGAGAATTTTTTGAGAAATGCCACTTTTCAAAAATGTCATCATTTAGAATTTTTTTCCAGAAGTGTCACTAATCCTCTATATATTAATTGAGTAGAWAT